AGGCAGTTTGAGGCTCTTCAAAGATGAATTTCTTTTCACTGTGTTGATTATTTCCGACAAAAACTCAGTAGTAGAGCTTTCAAACAGCCGGCAGAAGGAAAACGTGATTTCTACAGAAGAAATGGATTGACAGGACGTGTCAGTACTCCCCGTGCGCTTCATTATTCCATAACTGCATCCTGCAGACAGCTCCAGCCCTTAATCTGTATGCAAGAACAAAGCTTCCCCAGCAGTGGATTGCATACAACAGGACCGCCGCTCTGCCACAAGAAGAGAGCAGAGATCACACCCAGGGAAGTGGTTTTGCCAGCTGCCCCAGTTAAAGGCTGATGCGCTCTGCAGGTTAAAAATCTTCAGTTTATAGCCAAGACTGTGGACTCTTCTCTGCAGCATACACCAGCTTTGCAGCTGCTTCTCTCTCTGCCCTGCTGGCACAAAGAACCAGACACGTTCCCACTCTGCCAACAGCTACAGACCTGCTCCAGGGACAGTGACGTTGGGCTAAACCTTACACATCCGAAGATCACCTCTTAAACATCAGCCAGCCAAAAGCAGCCACCTGCAGCATCTTTCCAAGCAACAGCTCCCAGGAGTTTGCTGTACCTTGCAGGACAGGATCCTGAAGCAAAAGCAGAACTTCTTTCTGGTGCTCAGCCAGGTTCACATCATGAAAGCTCAGTTTCTTCAAATTTGGATTACACTCTAAAAGCAAAGCAAGTTCTCAGGTAAAGTACTGTACGCTCGTGGGATAAAAATACCCTGACCCAACTACCAGCTAACGCCCAGAAACTGAGTGGGACTGTGGATAATTTGTGCTGGACTGTGGGCAATTAAAAAGGAACCATCGTGCTGTGCAGGATCATTCACATGATCAGCACAGAAAGGGGGATGGCTGACACCCATTGCCTTTTCTCAGGGAACTTCAAGGATGTCCACACTGAAGAAACGGACCCGCCTAAGCTGGCTTCGTGCTAAAGGATGGAAGATCACAGCAAGGACGCTACTCTGTGTGTCACAGTAGACGCTACCTACAGGTTAGCAGAGTACCTCTGAGCGCCCCCAAAAGGAGCCCAAGCTCCTGAGAAGAGGGCAGCGTGGCGCTGTCAAGGGACAACTGCTGGAGGGACTTTGACGCCTTGAGCACTGGCAGCAGGAAGGCGGTGTGCAGAGGTTCCCTGGGGAATCGGATCTCTAGCTGCTCCAGGCAGCTCTCTATGGGAAGAAAAACAAACAACAATGAAAGAGCTTGGTCTGGAGGGCGTGTCTTCAACACAGCTAGGTCCTAGAGCAAGCAAGCAGTCCGTGTGCCTGACACAACCGTCATTTAGGCTGGTAGAAAGTACCAGCGCGACGCGCCCTGCCTCACAGAGCTCTATGGCAACTCAGACATAACTATGGTGACATAAATCACTTAAGGCTCATTTCAAGACTTCTGCCAAACCACAGGGCCACCAATTTCTACTGTATTCTGGCCTGAGAAAAGGTCACCCTTTACGCACAAAGCAGTCAGCGTCTTCCCACAGCACAGCTCTTCACTCACCCCGCTCCATACTCGCTCAGGCTTTTTTTACTGCTTTTCTGGTCATTGAAGGTCTAATAAGGGTGACGAGAGACCTGTGAGCCGAGAACACGCTGCTATAGCTCCCAGACTGTAATCCAGAGGCTCGGGCACTGCTTTGCCATCACCCGTGGTATTGCAATGATCAAGAGATGCTTTCCCTCTGCTTAAGGGTCCATCTAAGGCTTAGAGCCTCACGGTCAACAGGATGGACAAAGCAGAAGCTCCCAACCACTCTACAGATCTGGTGGGATACGCTGCCCGTGGGCTGCGTGGGCAGTCACTGCTAGCAGGTTTTGACTGGCCCTGTACAAAGCTCATGTTGCAGTAGGTTGACGTATAGCAATAAAACGCTTTGTCCAAGACTCAGGCTCCACAGAGCACATCACAGGCTGGAAATGACAAACTGCAACACCATCTGAATCAGAAAGGTGAGGCTGTAATCGCTTAATTACACATCACAGTAACAGCGTAGAGTTCAAATCTGCGTGCCAAGCTTTTATGGTTCTATCTGCCTGCCACGTCCTGGTCATCACTCAATGATGATTCCTACCTGGGATTTCTGCCTCACTGCAGCTGGGATTCCCCTCCGGCCTGTTCCCCTCCAGCTGGTTTTTGAGGTCGAAGCTGACTGAGAGGATGTGGAGCTGGGGAAAGGCGCTCAGGATGCAGCGAACAAGCTCCATGCAGGGCATGTGGGAGAAGACGTCGCTCACACGTACCACGCGGAGGTGGCAGTCCGAGTGGCGGGAGAGGGCCCGGAGCCCAGAGAGGATGCAGAAGATGTTAGCACCCAGGCCTGGAACAGCATTTGTACAGAAAGGTGTTAGCTGTGCCTGTACAGACACCAATGCGCCCGCAGCTGAAGCTGCACCAATGGCCAGGCAACCCAAGTCAAAGGCTAAACTCACAGACTACTTTATCCACACGTTCTTAAGCTAGACTGTGTATACAGGAGATGGAAATCTGGCTCTTCCCTTTGCCCTCTCTGGATGGTGTTTAAGCACAAGGCCGTTCTGGAGCAGAAGGGCCCCATTCTCTCCCTCAAACAAGTCCTCACGCTCATTAAACATCTCTACCGATGCCATCCTCAAGATTGGGTACCAATACTCTTACAATGCCCATTCCAGTAAAAATAACATCAAGGCAAACCTGAGCAGCAAGTCCGACCATGAGACCAAGGCCGGAAGGAAGCAACCTGTTCGCACCACTAACCGTTGTAAGACAGAACCAAGTTTTCTAAAGACACCCAGGAGCTCAGCAGGTTACTCAGCGTCCGACATGTCTCCCCAGTCAAAGGAATGGAGAACAATTCCAGCGTGGACACACTTCGGAAGCGGTGAGCAGCTTTCAGAGAAAAGATCCCAGCAGATCCTCCTCTTTTCTTACAGCCAGCATGGCCAGCACACAGAGATCCTGGGGAGGAACTAGTGCAGTTCTCAGTGTTTTCTCCCTCTATGGTGCTGTTTTTGTCGAGTAACCCTGAATTATCCTCTCTAGCAACAGTAAAAACAAAATCATACAGGTCTTCTGGGTCAGCATATGGTCCCCTCCTTTGTCTGAGGCAGCGACGTTTCTTTCCCACTGCAGATTTCAGCCGTCTGCGTGTCTTTCGAAGGACAGGGTTACAGGACAGCTGGTCTGAAACGTAACGAGGAGAAGATCCTCCCTGAAAGCTGGTGTGGTCACAGGGCACCTTGCTGCTTGCCTCATTGCACACTTGGTTTTGCAGAGGAGGGGTTCTCAGTCCGGAGAGGGCAGAGTTCAGGCGAGCGTCAGCCCCGCATCCGTTCACCTCCGCATTAGCCTCCTCCGGGGCCCCGGGAGATCTCGTCTGGTTCTCGCCATCGCTCCGCTCCCTCTCATCGCGAGGGCCCCTCTCTGCTCGCTCTTGCACCAACGCCTGGCTTTGGGCTTTGTCCTCCTCTCTGCAAAGGCCACACGGGCTGCTGTGATATGCGAGGGCGTTTCCCGAGCGCCAAAACCCAGCACTCATGCTCAGAATGAGAACGAGAAGAACCGTGTCGGGAACAGGCCAGGAATACATGGACACTTGGCTGACAGAGCCGTGGTGAATCAGCCGGTGAAGAAGTAAAACCAGCGAACGCCTGATGGACTGGTCAGAGGAGAGGAGGTGCTGGAACTTCAGGATCCGCAGGGAGGCAGCCAGGTTTTCAAGCACTTTCTGGTTGTGCTCAGCAGTGAGCTCCACCGCGCCCTGCAGCATGTTGCAGAGCGTAAGCTGGGAAACGTGTGGGGAGCTGTGGAGCAGCGGCGAAAAGTGATGGTCATTGAGACGCCAGTCAGAGGAAATATCCAAGACACCATGAAGAACGTTTGAGAAGAACGTTTCAAGGAACTTCTTCCTCCAACAGGTTATATTCTGCAATTAAACAACAGGGCCACATTAACAAAAAGTCAGCCACAGTTTTTCTTGTTCTTTTTAAGTTAAATTATTGCTATCTGCTAACCTGGTAAATGCGGTGTCCAAAAAAACCTGCCGCTAGCACAACTGAGACTACCTTTCTAGTTCTCAACATCCTTCCTCAGTGTATTTGTTGAAAAACTGAGGTACTCCCATTGCTCTCTCTTCATCCTGCTTCTGGCCTAATTTAAACATATTCAGGGGTTTGAAGCTAAGCCATGTTTTTGCCTATTAAAAACCACATAATCGGGAATTTTCTTCCCGAGCATCTATTTATAGGCTATGATTATGTTGTCCGTTAACGATTCTTTTGCAATGCTGAATCAATGGAGCTGCTTCAGTTTTCCTGCGTAAAACCATTCTGCCAAACTCACTGTCTCCTCTAAGTATTTTTCTAGTGCTTTCCAAGACATCAGCACATTTTTTTGCCGGCGTAGGTGTAAGCATGATGCAAGATACTGTTTTTATCCTCTGTTTCCCTAGGAATTACATCTCTAAAGACAGAATTTATTCTTTCGGTAAACTTGCTCTTGAGAGATGAAGGGCGTGGCTGTACACTATGGTTCCTTTTATGAACCCCGTTTCCCAAAATGACTGTAATACCATGGTCATGCCTTGGTCCTGAGCTCTATGGACGCTTATAAACAAGCACCAGCAATCACTCGGAGGTGGCCAGGAGCACCGGCAGGCTTCAAAACCAAACCTCACGGAAGATGTTGGCAACAGGGCGCCTGCGTCGTGCCCCTTCTCGCACCGGCAGCATCCCCTCACCTCCGAGTTGGGCGGCCTGGTTTTCATCACGTCATCCCACAGCTTGCGCCAGATGGGCTGCGTCGAGAGGCCTGGGGGAAAAAAATAATCAACGGGGCACTTTCACCCCTTCTCCCCGTCTGAGTGCCCTGCCCCGGAGCTCGCCGGGCAGAGAAGGGGCAGCGCAGACCCAGACCCTTGCGGCAAAAGGACGGTGCTTTGCGGTGAGGGGAAGACTGCCGCCTTTTGAGGGACGCAAGTTAAAATATGGCGGGTTTTGTGGGTCCTCAAAAGGAGCGGAGTTCACCCTGCCTGGGTGTGGGACGGGGCTCAAGGTTTCGGATGCAGGGGGTGGCCAAGCCCCGGTGGCCGGGTGCTCCGGGGTGTCCCTCCGTTGTCCCCCGTAGACGGGTTCACCCCTCCGGCCCGGGGCTCGCCACTCCGGTGCGGGGTCCTCTCCCCC